AATCAATCTGACTGGATGATCTGGTGAACTGGAAAGTGACCTGAGATGACATGATGTGAATTGGAGCTATAGAAATAAACTGAATAGAATTAAAGTATTTTGTAAATGAAGTGATGTTTTAATAATTTTGTATTATAATCTTCAATATTCCAGAATTGGAAAACAATTTAAATAATTGTGTTTTATTTCATCGTTTTTATTTTTTCAGAATTTAAATCAGATCTTCTAATCAGGCAGTTTCTCATTAATTTAGAAGCCTTTTTAACAACTACTTTTTTTTTTTTACTCGTTTTTGAATTTCTGTCTTTAGACGACGATTAGAGTAAAATATTCTTAAGTAGCGATGACCAGATAAAACCTGGAAGCTGATCATTATTAATATGAGTTTATGGCAAACCTCTGAGGTCATCACAGCTTTAGCTCTCAGGTAACATTAAGGACAGCGGAACCTGAGGAACAGGGCTGAAAAAATAGATCCGTTGATTGGATCCTGGTGGCCTGCTTCATCATAGAAAGGAGTTTTTACTCACATATCATTTCATCTGACTCGTATCGTAATCACAACCATTTTAGAGATATTAAAGGGAAACGCTGTTTTTTTGACATTGGGTCCTTTATTTTACGTTATTCCATCATGTTCTACTCACCCATATGAGTTTAGTGTCATTTGGAGCCGTTCTGAAGATATACCGTTAGGTTATATAAAAGTAACGTCTTCCTATGGGCAACGACTTGAAGGCACAAACTAAACTGTTTATCATTTATTCTTTGTGGTACGCCAGCATTCAGAACATGTAGGCCAATCACTGTCCCCCAGAAAATCCGTGGTTATATATTTTATATTTATATGTTTTAAAAACAAAGCGGAGTGTGCATGACCTTGGAGGAGCCGCCAGGAAGAAAGAGCAGGAATAGATGATGGCAGGTCAAGGCTAGACTCTGGAGGCTAACTGCTGGAGATGGACAGAGACAGCAGAGGGTCAGAGGAGCGTGCAGCCGGAGTGAACGGTGGGATTGATAAGAGAAGCAGCAGCTGGTTGGTGTCTGTGCTGGAGGCACGATGAGAAATGTTCTTTCTTGGGCTTAAAACGGCTTGATGCTGCGATCTAATGTAAATGAATTTCATCATCACTTGACAAGACAGTAAACCGATGCTTGCAGAAGCCATTTTGAAAGATGGCTGCCTCCATATTGTTGGAGGGGAGAGACAGTGTGGGGGGCAATTTATTTGTTTCTGCATTCTGACCTTTAGATGTCGCTGAAAATTAAACATTGTGGCTTTAAA